TAAAATCGGGGTTGACCCAAATTCCTATATATTTGCACTGGTACTACTTACACTGGCATAAACTAGGCCTAGGCTAGGCCTACAGGCTTACGCCTGTCTCTTATACACATCTAGATGTGTATAAGAGACAGCCTCACAACCATGTCATTTATGATTAAATATGGTTTCAATTGTTTCAATTTGTCTTACAAATAGACATGTACGATGACGTGTTATCAACGACAAATAATGGAACAATGCGGTTGCTATGACATATACTATCCCAACAATGAAACACGTTCGCATCCAAAAGAAAGGACTGTTAAACCATGTGACCTTACAAATAAAAAAGATGGTAAGTGATACCAGCAGGCTATTCAAGTGCTCAGAATTATGTTTCAAGCGGCACATAATGTTGGAATTGATTTTATAGTAAATTTCTATGGAACGCCAGGGTCAATGCATAATGAAAACTTTCCGTCATCTGTTCACTGAACGGGTTACATTAAATGAGTGAAAACGTGACCCCTTTTCCTCACAAAATCGACTACCGGTATATAATTTGAATGGTTTCATTTGACAATCTAGGCGCTCGGATTATAAAACTAACAACCTCTTATGAGTTTGTATAGGGAAATGTTAAAATTAGGGTGTTTTTTTTTTGGTATACTAACTGCTTCTACTTCACATAACTTGGCAACCATAGGTTGCTGAACTTTGTGGTCCGGGTAAACGGTCAAGTGTAGCTCCTAAGCTTTCTTGTCATGTAAGTCTTGTGCTTTTTAATTAAGAGACCATGACCAGTGATCATTTTTCTTCGAATATTTCTATTCAAAACGGTTTTTAGCAGTTGGTAAAATGACGTCACGCGCTTTAATAGCAGATACGAAATTTAGTGTTGTCTATGTTGAGTGCGTTCATGCATACTATGTAGGTCAAATTTACCTGACTGAGCTTATACTGAAAAAGGGGTAAAGTTTTCATTATGATGATCTGACACTTGTTTGTGTTTTGAATTAAATAGTCTACGCGCTGCATCAGGATGGACAGCCAAACATACTGTAATAGATCTCCTCGGAGTGGCAATCAAACTTAACAAACAACCAATCACAACAGGGCCAGGAATTGGCGGTTGTCCCACAAACACACGTGCTCTCCCAAATTGACCTTTCCGGAATGTCAATTAAACCAAAGAACTGACCAATCAGAACAGACCCATGAGTTCGCTACTCAAACCACGGGTTGTCTAACCATAGAGAAAATAGAACAGAACGCCAGGTGATCTAGGTTTTAAAACAAATATTGCTTATTACGGAATTTCTAAAAAAGATAAACGAACAGATTCTTGAGAGAGAAAAGTTTTGATGATTTTTAAGATTATTAGACACGCCTTGAATATCAACATTATTGAATTAACAACATAATTACAAATATAGACCTACCTATATTATTCCCCCTGTATCAAGAACTTTGAGGGCACGAAGGTTAGCTGAACATTGCTACAAAAATGAAGTTATTTCAAGGGTTCTCTTTTGGGAAGCCAACAATGGGAAAAGTAAGCAAGGACGGCCCCGACTACATACATTGAACATTTAGAAAAGGATCTACAACACACAGTGGCTGTACATTCTACAACTTATGAAAAATAGAGATTTGTGGAAAAAAAGTCATACAAAAGTTTGAACTTTGCTCACATTAACCGAGTGTGCCCGATAAAATAGAGAGACAAGAAAGATATTGCTGCAATGCGGCGTATCGGGGTGGGGGGTGAGGTGGGTGCTCAGGGTGCTTGAGGTTGGAAAAGTTATAAAAAAAAGTTAAATGTTAAAAAATAACCGACCTAAATTTTAAATATTAAAGTGCCATTCCTGGTATCTAAAATTCCCCAATTCTTAAAATTTTCTCACCTTAGCCTCAACCGGTGGTGGGCTCAAGTGAATATAGTAATTTTGCTAGTTTTTTTTTATGTATTAAAGTGCCATTTTCTGGCATCTAAAAGTTGTTTTTTTTAAATTTATTTATTTATTTATAAAAAAAAAACCCGCGATATATCGCCACTTACAGGATGGATAAAAATATAACAATAATAAAATATGTAGAATTAAAATATCACCATTGCATCTCCATGGTGGGGCTTAGTTGGATATGCTAGCTTGTAGAATTTAAGTGCCATTTTCGAGTGTATTAATTTTTTTTTTTTTTTTTTTGCTCAATTCGTCAAAAATAAAAAGAATGAAAGGGTAATTTAGGTTCCATTTCCTGGCATGGGATTTGTAAACTTAACAATGTCCTAATGGTAATGTTTAAAATAAGTGGTTGGTGGAAAAATGGTCAACGTTTTATTTTCATTTCTCAACCTGACCTTCGCCTGGGTCTGGATCCGCGCTTGCTTACAATCTAAGAGCCCTTAGTTAGCCAATCAGAACATAGGAAGCCCGCAATGACGGGAAAACATAATAATCGCTCTGATGAAAAGAATTCGCGAGTCAAGTAATGGATCCTCCATGGGTGGGGATGAGGATAGTCAGTCAGTCCACTTAATTTAGTTAGTAGGTCCACTGTGTGCATAGAGTAAAGAAGACTGACAAGGATAGATCCTTAAAAAGCTTTAATTTTTGATTTAAGAGAGCCTTTTTGGATTTAAGCTTCTACTTATGTGTAGGATTATCATCGTTTGGTGGTACAGTACATTGATGAGTATGTGATTGAGCGATTTGTTAAATTTTGGGGAGCATCGGCAGTCTCGCTTTCTGCCCTAATCATTAAATAAATGAGGCTTTAAAACTAGGCGTTGATTCTTTAATTTTCCCTCTTCCTCTCTGTGTTCTGTCAATTTTAGTAGGCTGGCCCAATACAAGGCTGTTTAACCTTTTTGGGGGCCACCTGCCTACTTCCCTAAGGCTTTATAGTCAATTATAATACTAGGCCGACTCTCCAATAACAGGGTCATGTTTTTTTGGCAACATACATTATAGCCTGTTTTCTTTACCAAGGAGCTCAAAATACTCTATCATTTTTCTAAAGAGTATTTTGCAAGAAAATTCAATTATTACTACTAATACTACTAGGTATTATTTAAGCCTACATACCAAATGTATACAGTATCACATAATGAACCAACCATATAATAATTAGGCCAACAATAGCGTAAAACAATCTTCTGGTAACAGCCTAAGTGGTGCTGTTGATAACCCACCTTATAGTTAGTTTACTGCTTCTAATAACCCTATGAATTGTAACTACTACTACTAATATTACTGTACTAACATGCGAAAGCTTTGTTTCACCATTCTGCGAGACGAATGTAGCATACAGCGAAGTGAGGCTCCTCATTTATGACTATGTCTGACGTCATCGTGGGCTTCCTGTGTTCTGATTGGCTAAAATAAATCTTGACGCAGGGTTCCCGGAAAGCCGCCCTCAGCGGCGTGTGCGAAGCGTAACTCAGAGTGGAACGTGAAATTTCGATATGGTTTCGTAGTCAGATTTGCGAGAAAAACTTCAGCTACCCGTATTTCTCGATTGAGACGTCAATGGGAGCTGTAATTTGTATGGCAAGGAGATGGTGCTACCCTTCATTCTTTTTAAAAAGGGAACCTTGTAGTTACCATTGTTTTGGTTATAATAGAAAATTTTTATTTTTTGGTGACGTCACACTCACGCTATAGTTAGCATGCATACGTCATAAGCTAGATTACGTCACCTTTTCCTGGCAAGGGAAACTTTCCCGGCGTGTTTTTTTCATGGATAAACAAACACCACTGCTTTGCACACGAATGCCTTGCTAGCTAGGGCAACAAGAGCCGCATAGTTAGCTTATAATACTTAAACAAGGTACGTCTGCAACTGAATTATTCTTAGGCCCTACTTATTTTTTTTTTCTTATTATTTTTAATTAATTTCTTTCGAAAGTGTACTTTCTATTACAAATAATTGCACTGACTACTTAGGCCTAGTTTTATGCTTTATAAAATATCGTCCCCCGCTATACACAGTACATCAGTAGGCTATCCCCCTCCCCTCACGCTACAGTACAGACGTTTGCTCAGTGGCGTCGAGAGGGGAGTTAGGGGGTTGCTGCCCAAGATGAAAATTTTTTGCTAGGCAACAGAACGTGATTGCACCTTCCTTCCCAGGTGTTCACGTAACATTTGCATGGGCCTACTTTTTGCATGGGAACCTACTTGTTTCTGGTGTGCGTTGTCAATCAATCAGTCAATTTATTAGTGAGTAACACCTTAAGATCGGTGGCACACATAAACAGTAATAGTGGCGCATCCAAATTAACAATTTTTTACAGACAATGAAGTAAACTTAAATGTAGGCAAGAATAAAGAAAAACAATTTAGAAATATGTTTAACTTAATGCTAAAACAAAACCGAGAAAATTAATTAACGTAATACCTTAAGATCGGTGGCACACACAAACAGTAATAGTGGTGCATCCAAATTAACATTTTTTACAGACAATGAAATAAACCTAAATATAGGCATATAAAGAAACACAATTTAGAAATATGTTTAAATTAATGCTAAACAAAACCGAAAAAAATAATTAACGTAATTGATAACAAATTCATACATGCTAATAAAAATCACAAATCTGGTTATCAAACAAAAGCAACCAATAAAAAAAAATTTAAAATGAAAGACAAACAAATGTCAAAAGTGGTACCATGTCTATGAAAAGTTGCTTATTAAGATAAATTATTTATGGGATTATGGAGAGGACTTAAAATTGCTTTATTTCGGACAATCAGAATGAATGATTATAAGATCCTGTAGTATATAATAATGAGGTCGGTGGCATACACAACAAAAATAGCGGTGCATACAAATTTTTACAGACAATGAAGTAAACTTTAAAATAGGCATAAAAATACAGACTCTGTTGATTGCTCGCACATCATCGGCTTCGAGTTGGATCAGAGCTAGCTCATGAGTATTAATATTCACCACAATCGGTCTGCAACGCTCTAGGTCCGTTCGCAAATTTTTCCGTTCTCTCTCCTTTGACTTGATGGTGGGGTGGGGGCTGGGATAAGAACCTTCAGCACCCCCCCCCCCACTCTCGAGGAGGAAAACCACAATTCGTCGGGGAATAGACTCTAAAATCGATTAAGCAAGTCTTTGAAAAACCTAAACTGTCATAATTTTGGGCGATTCGCTCCTTGGACCACTTTTAAAACAGTTTGAGCGACGTCCGAACATGTCCACTTTGCTCTTATCGGGGGATCAGCCCCCCACCCCGGTCCACTTTGCTCTCATCGGGGATCAGCCCCCCCTTCCCCCTACCCGTCGGGGTAATCTTTGCGCCGCCTCGATGATCTAAATGTTTTAAAGACTTGATCGTGTATGTCCTCCAGTGATTTTCTCCATCACTCTGAATGTTTTTTATATTTTATACCAATATATACGTTAACATGTCTGGCAAGGCTCGTTGTCTCATTAATTAATATGTTTTAAATATTATGTTGTAACATTATCATTATCATTATTATTACTATTATTATTATTATTATTATTACTATATTACAAAAAACAAAAAAAAACAGTCTACAGGTTTTTCAACATGACTCAGGGCGAACATTCAGGATAACACAATCACCATTGCACGCAAGATTCAATATTGTCAAGTGAGGGTTTTAACCCTGCAATGATGAACATCCTTGTTGACCTTAAAGAAAAAAAGAGAAGAAAGCAAAAGAAAAGAATTAATTTATGGGTGTTAAGGGATACATCTCTTTGTGGGGCAGCGTAGTTGTCTGTCTCAGTCTAATGGCAGTAGACTTGCATACCTGTACGTACTAGTAAAAGACAAAAGTAATGCTGTCTTGACAGCATTGGATCCCTCTCTTCAATGCTAATATTTTTGTGTAAATGCTTAAATGTAAATGCTCTTTTTTCTTTCTATTTTCTTTTAAAGATGAATGTGTAGAAGACTTTCAGAAAAGGTTTAGAGGTTCAGGTTACAGCAAGTGCTTATGTAAACAACCATGCAAGTAAGAATTTCAAACAACACGATCATCGATATTATTAGGAACCTTTCTATATTACCATTCACCACCGAAAGGTGAATCTGTTTCTTTGCTCTATGATCCGTCCTACGCAATTGAAAGCTCCTATTACTCTAATCCCATTATTGTTTTTATAAACGTTTCTCAGTAACATTTAGCTTGAAATTGAAATATAGCCTATTGTATTGATAAAATATTTTTGTTGTGTTTAGTACCACCAGCTACACAAGTGATATCTCGACGTCCTACTGGCCTTCAGACAACTACAAAGTAAGGTATCACAATTTTTAGCTAAGGTATTTTGTAGATCAGCCCATTTCTTGCATTTAACACATTACCTTTTGTTTGTTTTACTTTGTTGTAAAAACGTAAAATTAATTATTGAATTTCTTAAAGGTTTGCATGGCGAGTATCAATAAGAAAATCATAAAAATTTCAGTGTGTACAAATATGGTGTTGAGGTAAAAACCACTGAAAACAAACCAGTGGTTCTATCCCAAAAATCATATTTTTTACACATGGTGTACCGAAAGCTTTATGATTTTGTTATAGTAAAATTATTGCTTCTCTATGTAGCCTATGTCGGGTATGGTAGGTGAATCCCCATTGGGAATAAGAGTTTATTTTCCTTTATATCCTGCCATCTCTATCTAAGAGTAAAAAAGAATAAATAAATGTCTGCCTAACTATACCAGTCAATATGTTTTAATGAATCACTTGCCAATTGGCAGTTCCGCTAAGCCTCTTATCTTCAAAATTTTTGCTAAGGTCCCACAAAACAACAGCCATTCGTAGAGTGTGAGTTTGTAAACTTAAGCTCCGCCCTTGGATATTGTTGCTAAGGTTCACAAAAAGACAGTGTTAGAACATACGCAAACACATGCGCTTGTCAGACAACACGTGAGCTTATTAGATACGCGCGTATTTCTAGTCCTGTTCCTATTGGTCAATTGTTAAGTTTGATTGACACTCAGGAAAGGTTCATTTATGTATAAAGCATTACCGCAAGACGGTGTTAACGTGTAACGTACGGTACACATTGCTTAAAGTTAAGCATAATTATTTTTTTTGAAATTCAATTTATTTTTTTGTTGTTTTTACATCAAAGGAAAATTTGAAAGAACGTCTAGTAAACTTTTCCAAGCCTCTAAGGAAAACTGTAGAGGCTGATTGCAGGGATAACAAAGCGATAAGGTATGTTTCAAATTTGATTTCCAGTGCCATTAGTCGATTGATTAATCAGTATTAATTATTATTATTATTATTATTAATATTATTATTATTATTATTATTATTATTGTTCTTGTTATTATTATTATTATTATTATTATTATTATTATTATAATTCAGTAATTTTCTAATCGTTATACCATAATTTAAGAGGTGCAGTTTATGTACTAACATCTTCTGCTTTTGTATTTTATGTCTTCAGATTAAATCTTCTTAATCTGGACATCTATTATCAAGATCTCAACTACGAAGTGATAACCCAATCTTTTACATACACGGTAAACATCCTGCTATATAAAGGTTTTATAAAGAGACTGAAATACCATCTTATACAAAATCATCATCATTTTCATCATCATCATCATCATCATCGTCATCATCATAATAATCATCACCATCATTATCCTCATCAACATTATCATCATCCCATCACCACAATTATTATCATCATTAGCACCATCGTGATCGTCATCATCATCATCATCATCATCATCATCATCATAATTATTCCCCCATCAAATCGTTTACTTATGTTGTTTTCTATTTATTATTTCATTTAAGTTTATCGACTTGATTGGTGCGTTAGGAGGTCTTGTTGGGCTCTGGCTTGGACTATCAATTCTCACTATTTTTGAGGTCTTTGAGTTATTTATTGATCTAACACGATACTTCATCTTCGAATCAGTGGTAAGATCTAAGTCAGCAGGGATCAGCCCCAGTTCGCATAATTAGCAAGGATAACATAAATGACAATGTGTTTTACATACGTTCTAAACCTCAAAAAAGATAGACAAAAGTGTACGAAACCAAGTATATATTGATGTGGAGCCTTAAGCCTAACATATATTTTTCATTCTTAGCCCAACACAATCGCCGATAATTTTTACATAACATAAACACCTCCAATAGCTATTATAAAAATTACATTTACATGCCAATATTACCAATAACATTTAGTAGAACACCCAAGACCTAAAAATAGCCATTGCATTGTATTTAAAACAAAATTCTTTGTATTCTGTTTTTGAGTACAATTTGTTTTTTTTAGAAATAAAACAATAAAAGCTATAGCCGTATTATTATGTCACATTACAAATAAATAAGTACAATCTCTCAATACAATTTGTTAGTCAAAAGAAGGTGCTACTGTTACTTATATTATTTGTATTTTTTTAATTAGTTATTGCAGTTTGTAATTAAATGTTGTTAGTTTCTGTAATATTCTACAAAATGTTATAAATGGTGTGTCCATAATTTTCATGTTTGGAAAACGCCACCTATCATTCGGTTACTGGATATCTATAAAAGAATGAGATACAGTATCTAACACTCTCGCTGACCCCAATGGTAAATGTTATAAGAATCTACATGTTTACGTTTAAGAAAACTGTAGGCCAGAATTTAAATGTCCTTATCAAAAGGAAGTAAGTATGAAAAATCCAGTGTATAAATGAACCATAGATCCAGTGGGTCTTTTTACCCAGTCAGTGCAACTGACTGGATAAGGTAGGGTCTTTATGGTGTTCAGGTATTTAGGGTCAAAAGTCATTAAACGGTCATTCTTTTGTTCTATCTGGTAACATTTCAAAATGCTATTGCAAACGATTGGGCCAAATTTGGTCTGATTAAGAACCAATAACACCTCATAAAGTAAATACTCCTCACCCTATAGGTCGAAGTTAATAGATCAAATGTCAATCATTTCCATATTTTTTATATTGCTCAAACTCATTATGGATGATAAAGGACATTGTAAATATGATATGATCTTAATGTCAATAAGTCACAGGGGTCATTAGTGTCAAAATCAAATATTGCTAGTAACAAACGGTTGGACCGACTGCATGAAAACTTGGTCAGTAGAACCAGACTCAATTTGTTACTATTACTGATGTTCCCCGGTAGTATTCAGGTTTTCATACAGGATCAACATTTTAAAAATACAAACTAATTTTAATCCAAGATATTAGTGCAAATTGCAATAATATATGTTATAAGTCAATCGTGACGTCATCACTGTAACTCCCAATGTTATTTGCCTATTCCACAGCGTCCACCAATTTTTCTATTTTAGTGGACGCTTGGCTTGATTTTTTTTAGGTTCGTGTGCAAAAAAAATTCCCTCATTTTTTCTTCACCGCGAATATATCGCACACCGCGATAAAAATTGAATTGTAATTGAAAATTACTTTCGTAAAACAAGCTTAATTAGAACCTGAAGAAAGTTACTTCAAATTCAATATTAAGTATGAACAATTAAGGAATTCATTGAATAAATGGACCCTCATAAACACAACAAACTGAACGTTTAATAGGAATATTCTAGACTTATTTTAAAGACTCAAGGAACAAATTTAGGTAGGCAGGAGGCCAGGCAGGAGGCCGCCCGGGCCACCTCCTACTACTACTAGGCCGTAGCCTAGCCTAGTTATGAAATCATCGCACGATTTTACCTGTCTGCATGCACCGACCTAAAAGGACGTCAGTGACTGTATTCTCTCCCTAATGCTGAAATGTTTATTTCTTTGACGAAAGTCTATCAAAATAGCATTACAAACAAGTTCTTTCTAACACAATAGTTATTCATCGTATCCGTACTGTACTGCTGATGAGCAGTTAATTAAATGCGTACTGCAGGAGCACAAATCAGCATACGCACAGCTAAATGTAGCCTGGGGTTCCAGGCCCTATTTTTGGTTTATCTACTTTTTATTGCACTTAATGCGCGCCATACCAAATGTAATTGGCGTCCCATAATCGATTTCTTTTTTTTCGAATTAGCTTGTTACGACTCAACTGAAGATATTAACTGAACTTTATTCGCTCGTTGACGGCGCTGTCTATAATAAAGGAAAACTATAACAAGCGCCTTGTGGCAAGTATAAGCTAAATGTAAATACGCACACGTATACTGATCATATCACTATAGCAACCGATGATTGCTACAACAGTTGGTTATAAAAAACTGAAATTAAAAGACGGCGATTGACTTATAAAGCAATTAGTAGAGCATGCATTGTACACTAAATAGAAAATCATTATACTTAATTTAGATTTGATGCATTTAAAAATTTCCTTCGGGCCTTGCAGGCCCTCAGGAAATTTTTTCAAGCATTAAATCTAATCTTCGTATAATAATTTTCCTATAGTGTACTATGCGGAGCTCTACTAATTGCTTATTATCGTCTGATTGATTAGGGTGATAACTAGCTTTCGGTTTGCGCCTTTATAGTCCATTAAGACACAATGTTAATTATTATTCCTAAAATTAGTTATTCAAAGTCCTAAATAAACTGTAAAAACAAATCACCCTTATCGAAAAGAAGAAGTACAGTAGTTCTAAATGTTTTAATTGAGTCCAACAAAATTTAGGTCACAACAACAATTAAATCACTTTTTAAAATGTCTATAATAGATTGAGATTTTTAGATAGGCCTAAGAGTTTTTAGAATTGCTACCCATTTAGGAGGATACTTAGTAGCTCATTGAATTGAATTGCGATTGAATCTGAATCTAACTTAGTTAGGCCTATATTTTTTCTTGGATTTAAATTTTATATATGATGATTAAGTATAAGCTCCAATAGTTTTATTCAGTAGCATATCTAGGGGTGCGCGGTGGGAGGGGCGCTCGCCCTCCAAAAATAACTCCCCCCCCCCACCCCAGTCGCCCTTCAAAAAATCACGGTCAAGTAGTTAATAACACATAAAATCACCTTATTTTGCGAATTAGCAGCCCTCAGCTGATCATCGAGCCTCACCCCCACCCCCAAATTCACCTTCGCGCCCCACATTATCACCCCTATTTCAAGACTTCTAGATACGCCACTGCTTTCATTTGGTTTCTGTGATGATTGAAACATGGAAATAAAAACACTTGTAAGTAAACCAAAAATACACGTTCTGTGACGTTGCAATCCATTATCAACGGACATCCAACTAACCAACCAACCAACCACCCGACCAACAAACCAACTTATCAGTCCTGAAACTACTGGTAGAAGGCGGCCCACAACAACCGGAAACGTTAACAACAGCAAACCATTCACTATCTGATGAAGACCCGTTTACATGGAGGAAAGAAAAGCAGCTTTTTCTTTCCTCCATAGTTCATAACGTATCGAAACGTCACAATATTTTGGTTTACTTACAAGAATTTTTCCATGTTTGATAATTAAGTAGTTAAGTGCCTGTTTTCTGAGGATCAAGAAACGTTGTTGGTTTTTGGAGTCTAGCATCTTTGGCTGATAAAAATAATGAGATGAACATTTAAATGATGTGGATATCTGTGACGATCAACTTTTCCAAGACTAACTCTCTAAAAAGATCCATCCAATCGCTTCAGAGAACTCCCGATCTTTGCTAAACGCCAACCTCCTACTCAAATCGATTAGATCTACTGCTATCCCCAGTCAACTTCCCACTAACACATGCCCGTGTAACAAACCATGCTGTCAGATATGTAAACTGCTCATCATAAACATATGTAATAAACTTAAACATAGAAAAACTGTTATTATTAATAGCTAATTATTATTAATATAGTGTATATATATAATATAATATAATATAAATTATCAAAGGTACATATACAGTGTTAAAATAAGGACATGATGGAACATCGTAGGCTACCCTGTAGCTTTTCAACGAATAAAGTCCTATAAAAGTCCTTGTGTAATAAAATGCTTCAGACGGGATTCGAACCTGCAACCTCTCGCTGACAAGGCGAGCGTCATAACCACTAGACCACGAAGGCTTCATGGTTGAACAGGTCCAAATAACCGTCGGGAGCATTGTATTACACAATGCTACTCCTCAAGAGGGCGTTCGGCCAGATAAATCGACGGGATTCGAACCTGCAACCTCTCGCTGACAAGGCGAGCGTCATAACCACTAGACCACGAAGCCTTCATGGTTGAACAGGTCCAAATAACCGTCGGGAATATTGTATTACACAATGCTACGCCTCAAGAGGGCGTTCGGCCAGATAAATCTGGCAATACAGCTAGAAATACTGTCGTATATTATGTATGATCATGTCTTATTTAATTATTTAAATACGGTATATGTACCTTTGATGATTTATATTATATTTATTCAACAGTGTTAACGGCTAACTCCCTTCAATATCATATATATATATATATATATATATATATATATATATATAAGCTGTTATATGGTCAAAGATTTCTAATGAGGCTTTACATGGATACACTTCCAGAACTGATATGCTCTTTAATGATCTTCAAATTAATAGAGACTGCTTTAATTGTAAAGACGTAAAGTGTTATAAAAATGAACATTACAATTGGATTAATAATCTTTACAATAGTATCATAAACTGCCTTTCAAGTGCATCTGAAGAGTGCTTCCCATCTAATGTACGTATATCATATCAGTGCATACCAGGTATATCATATCAGTGCATACCAGGGTGGAATGAGCACGTTTCTGAACTCCATAGTATTGCGAGAGATGCATTTTTATTGTGGCGTGCCTAGGACAGGTATACTATATCATGTTATGTGCACATCTAGATGTAGATTTAAGAAAGCTTTGAAAATATGTAAAAATAATAAGGAGCAATATGAGGAGGATGCTATGGCGAAAATTTGAAGCTTGAACTCATCATCCTAACCGGGCCTAAGCCTTCTGAATTTATTGACGGTGTTAAAGGTGATAATAACATTTGTGAGGAGTGTGCCAACCACTTTGATAAACTATTTAATTGCGTTAAGAATACTACTCATAAATGTTATGTTGAAAATGTGCTAAAGAATAACTTAAAATGAAAATGAATTACAGTGTGTATAACACCTCAGTTAGTAAACGATTGTATTTCTAAACTTGCCTCTGGGAAATCTTGTGGCTTAGATGGTTGCCTTGGAACATTTGAAACATTCTACTGCAAAATTAAGTGTTTTAATTCTATGCTGACACATGTATTGGCCTTAGAAGATATGGTTAAACTTATTCTCGTGCCTGTATAGTTAAGCGCAAAACGGGAGACATTGCAAGCAAAACCAATTATCGCCCATTGCGTCAGTAATATCTAAACTCTTCGAGAATATTCTTATAATTTTGTCTATGGATCTTTACCCTCTAATGACTATCAATTTGCTTTTAAAGAGAACCACTCAACGGATACTCGTATTTATGTATTAAAGCAGGTTATTGATTACTAAAATTGGAACGGAAGCCCGGTGAATGTCTGCTTCTTAGATGTTAGTAGGCCTAAAGCCTTTGACAGAGTTAAAACTGGACACTTTAAAATACTTATTGATAGAAATGTACCGTTAACTGTTGTACGAGTAATAAAATCTTGGTATAGAAGACAAAAAAATTCTGATACAATGTATATAGGATCTGTGCACTGGGAACCAAATTGTCTAAAGAATTCTCCGTCACTAATGAAGTGAGACAAGGTGGTGTGTTATCTCCCCTTTTCTGTTTTGTACAATGCTTATTTCTAAACTAAATGATAAATTAAGTGAGGCTAATCATTGGTGTGTTTGTAACAACATCAGGATAAACAATTTAAGTTATGCCGATGACATGGTTATCTTTTCACCTTCTGTGAGTAGCCTTCAGAAATTGATACTTACCTGCCAGGAATTTGTACAAGAGCATGACATGATATATAATGCAAAGAAGTTTGTGTGTATGGTTATTAGCCTAAACATTAGAAAATTGACTGGAGTTCCGAGTATTTATAATTCTTTTAGAAAAGAAACTTAATTTTGTTGATTCATTTATTTTCGTATCTTGGGCATATTATTTCCAACGATATGATGATGAAAACGATGTTTAAAAACAGTACCGCTCTCTATGATGTATAAGAGGTAATGTTCTCCATAGCAAATTCAAAAAATGCTCTGATGATGTAAAATGGTTATTGTTTAAGAGTTACTGCCTGTTCTTCACTATGGGCAAGTTATAATGTATCTACCATTAGATCTTTGGAAATATGCTATAATAATGCATTTCGAATGTTTCTAAAGTTACCACATTTCTGCAGTGCTAGTGAAATGTTCGTATCTAGAAATATTCCTTCTTTCTATACATTTATAAAAAATCAATTTTCGAATTTCGGAGAAGGGCCACTAATAGTTGGTACTGTGACACAGCACATTCATAAAAGCTCCAAGCTTCATCTTATATGAAATACCTTGCTGTATTGATTTTTTTTTTTTGTAATCATCTTATTGTTACAGTTAATTTAAGTATGGATATATTCTGAAATAAAAAGAGAATGAAATGAATAAATATATATAAATCATCAATGAAAGGTAAATACAGTGTTCAAATAAAAGACATGATGTTAGATTGTGTAGCATAGCTCTAAACGAAGTTGTCCTATAAATAAATACATTGTGTAATAAAATGCCTCCGATTCGAACCGACGAGCGTCATAACCATTAGACCACAGAGGTTTCATGGTTGAACTGATTCAAATAACCGTCAGGTGCATTGTGTTACACAATTGGCCTAGCCTAGGCAGGCCTAGTCGTCGACATGCCTTTGTTTTGGATTACATCGTCATTGCTATAAAATTATTATGAATAATAAGGCATAGCTTAGGCCTAGGAAGGAGCCCTGGCATACGCGCGGTCTTTGTAGTTTTCCTAGCCTAGTGCAAGCGACCGCTCTACTGTTCACATGACAATGAAGTTAGGCCTTTCCAGTGACACAAATGACTTGATGGTGGTTTCCAAAGCAATCATGCCGCGTTAGTTCTGTTGTACGCTTCATGCACATTACTAATAGGCCTAAATCATAAAATGATTAAATTTTAATATTATTTAATTCCAACTGATTAGTTATAGTTATACTACAGAAATTTAAGGTTTATCAATTTTACTGGCAGTCCTACCTTATTATAGGTTAATAGGAATATGACACTGAGTATTTGGATTTCGGACACCATCAACCCATCATACTCCTAGCACTATCTGGTACCTCATTCATCAAAAACAACATGAGGTGGACTTACCGCTAAAATCCGTTTATCATTGTGAAATAAATTTAGGCCTATTAGATACCTTTTCTACGGAAGGCTAATTGTGTCACTTATAATTTAAAATCTGCGTAATACACTAATACTAAATGTCGCTGTTTTCTTTATTTTGTCGAAATAGAGAGAGCATAAAAATATATTTTTGATGAAGGTATTAGACTAATACCTGAATACCCCTCCGCTACGCCACTGATATTTTTTTCACTTCTGAAAAATTTTCATGTGAGTAATTTATATCATTTTTATCAGGTTTAAGATCAAAATAAGGTTAATCATTTAGTGCCAAATTCATTTAACTATATGAGGTGTACTTTGATCTGTACTGTAGTTTTTTATAATAATAATTGATCTGTTATCAGGCCTATTGATTATATAACGCAACACACTTTTGAACGTGGTTAAACGTGATGATACCGTAACTAGTACCTCTACTACTATGATGATGATTCATAATAATAATCTATAATTAAGCTTATTTTAAAGCCTGTGGACACAATACAAAACGGAGGTACTCAATACACGTCTGGGGTACGAAACCTACCGGTCTGAAAAACTGTAACAAAATAGATCTTTAAATTCGCGGTCTCAAGAAGTGAATATCAATCTATATTTCAGATTAATTGTAGGAAAAATAATTACTTTAACCGACTTTTTAACTGGAATGACACCTGTTTCCTGACCACGTTGACGTTTACGTATACTTCCACAATCAGTAGCCGTGTCTCAGTCAGATGTTTTGCGGTTTTATATGGAACGCCGAAAGGGCAACTTTCATACACAGTTGATTTTGAATCACACTCGGTTTTTAGGCACAGTCGGTTAACAAAAACATTCGATTTTCGTCAAGCATACTCGGTTTTCGTAGGCCCTATTCCAAATCATGTTAATTTTAATGCAAGATTTTTTACAAGCACAGTCGGATTTTAGGTTTCTTAATACGTTACAGTAAAACTTGGTTTAGCTGCCCCTGACCAAAATATTGTTTACTGTAGGCCCTATTACAACTCTTGTTAATTTTAATTTTATAGCAAACAAAAACATTTTCCAAGGAAAATGACGGAGAGAAATACAAGGTATTTTTCCACTCCAATTAACACAATTGCTGTTTCATATCATCTTAGTGGTTTCTAAAAAAATTTATGTTGTAAAAAAAAAATTATATGATACTGTTATTAAAACTTGTACATAAAGCATGAATCAATCAATTAGTCAATCAATCAGTAAATCGAACAATCTGCCTATTGAACAATCAATCAATATTCAATCAGTAAGTGTATATAGGCCTATATAAATCGTATAATGAAGTAACATATGAAATCAATATTGCTTTCGTAGCACTGTGGTAGACCTATACATTCTACACAAACACGGACACCCACTCATAATATATATTGGTAAAACGGTTGCGGTAACGATCGTAACGGGCATAAATGATCACATTCCTTCCTAATTATATAGAGATAGTAATGAAGCTGAAAATAAATGATAAAGCCCACTAGAATAAACTACTCCGATGTGTTATATCTATATAAAAAAAAATAACGAAACAATGAGTGAAAACCGTTCGCCAAGACCTATAAGGAATAACAACATCTATTTCCCAATTAGAATAATTTGGTTTAACACAATTATATACAGATGAGTGAATATAATATTGTTACCTTATTGCATTCCATATCGCTAAATGTTGCCGTGGCAATTTATTTCTGTAAGCATATAATGACAAGGTTCTCATTTAAAATCAATTAATGTTTGCTTTATTACTTGGAACTTAATTCTAAATCCGGCATTTCGCTATGACGTCGAAGGAGAGTCGTACGTCTTCAATGAAATAAGGGAAAGGCAGTTTATTGTCGCATATCCTGGAATCACGCCAGCTACGAGAATGACGGACCACCAGTATGGAAACGCGTTTGGTGAGCGTCCAGACACTAAAACTACTGACCAAACAAATGGAAAATCGTTTAAAAGTTTGATGTGCAACATCTTTGAGAGAACAACAGCCCACGGCATCCCGAACATATATAGATCCGAGACGAAACTAGGCAAGCTTATTTGGACTTCACTGTTTTTGACTGCAGTTTCGTTATTGCTGTACCAATCCAAAGAACTGGTGGCAAAATATCTAACTTATCCCGTTGACGTTCAGCTTGATGTTAAATACAAGATCGAGCTAGAGTTTCCCGCTGTCACGATTTGTAACATCAACCCTATCCGAGAATCCTTGCTTAGAGAAGATCCAGATTTGAAAGATACGAATCTGATAGAAGATAGTGATCAGGTAAACTTGTTTAGATTTTTCAAAAATCAGATATAGATGTATCTTTTCTTTTTTAATAAACAGTTATTACTAAAGTGAATTATTCTCATGTGAATCTTGTGAAGTTTTAAATTACATTTTATAATTCTTAGTATTTATTTCTTTAAAAAGAAAATACATCAACAGTATAAAGCAGACGCAACGATCTGATCTCCTTCCAAATTTGAGTCTATTAATACAAAATTATGCAAGCTGTATAGATTATTAACGACTTATTTGTGGTTCATTTCAATATCGTTGGCTGATTTATTTTTTTTTCTGTTTATAAATATGGACAAATTGATTCCGAAATTAAAGAATGAATGTATAATTAAGGACTATTCAAACATCAACCATTACATTACTCATCTATAACAAACAGGCGAAATTTAATTAAAGTCGAAGTACAACAAAACAAATAAAACCTCCTTGTTTAAATCATGGAGCTATAGCTATTTTATAGCTCCATGTTTAAATGGTCTATATTTATAGTGCGATGTATTCGATGGTGACGTGGATTTCAACCAAGACGAAAAAGAAGAATATCAGGGTTGGGAATACTTCCTTTCTCAAACCGATCCATATGGCACGGAGACAGTTGCTCGGCAGCAGATAGAGACACTAAGTAATCTGTTGTCAAATAAAAGCAACGAAGAGAAGAAAAACCTTGGACACCAAATTGAAGACTTGCTTGTCGGTTGTTCATGGTCAAGCCTTTCTTGTTCACCTGAGTAAGTTCGATATGAATTACTGTGTAAAACCCTGACCATATATAATAATAATAATAATAATAATAATAATAATAATAATAATAATAATAATAATAATATGCATATCATGACTATATATGGGCATACAACAATTTTTTTTGTCAAAGAAAAGTTAAGTCTGGACAGAGTTTAATATTGGAATATTGATTCTAAAGCTCTGTTCACACTATACATTTTAAGTGAAAAATATGATAATATTATGTGATATGCCATATTTGGATGTAGTATGACATCATCATGCCCACATATGGGCACTACACTAACTGTTAGTGCGGACAGAGATTATCATGCATCTGTTGCGACTCATCCAGTGTCTTCTTGACGTTGGCTATGCCTTTAATGGGTTCCGGCCCGGTACCACCCTGATACGTTGCCACCCGGCCTTCTGCCACCCGGCCCGTTGCCATCGGGCCTTTTACCACCGGCATTTAGCCACCAGCCTTCTGCTACCCAAGGCCTGTTGCCACCAAACCTTTTACCACCCGGCCTTTTGCCACCCTAGGCCCGTTATTGACATCCAGACCCGTTGCCAACCGGCCTTTTGCCACCCGGCCCGTTGCCACCCGGCCTGTTATTGACACCCAGACCTGTTGCCATCCGGCCTTTTGCCACCCGGCCTGTTGCTACCCTAGGCCCGTTGTCACCCGGCCTTTTACCACCATATGTTAAATGCGAATATTTACATTATACTGAATTGGGTTTTTTTAAACACAAATTTGTAATTATGGATGCATATGTTTTTATATTTTTTATTTGAATGGTGAAGTTGGTCTAAATCTAATTTAACTAATACTGTAGTGAACATTGTGTCCTGATTTATTTAATATATACTTTTTATTTAATCCATACAAAGAGGGCAATACTGTGTGTCCATCCAGTTTTAGTATATTTTTACAATCAAAAAACACAATTTAACTGTCATCAACTTATCAATTTACCTACCCGAATCACTAATTAAAGCCATAGATGAAATCGCTCCTATAAAATATGTGTGTATCAGAAATAAAACAAAACCATGGATGGATGGTGATCTTTTAGAACATATCAGGCTTCGTGATTCTCTGTTGAGTAAAGTAAAGAAAAACAGAAAAGACAAAGAAACATGGTGTAAGTTCTGTAAAATAAGAAACAAATTCCGAAGAGACGTAAAACGTGCAAAAAGTGAAAAAAAAAAAAGAAAATAAGAAAGAACCCATAAAGTTATGGGATCAACTTAAATAAAAACAAAACATTAACAATTAGAAAAAAAGACACCAAGAAGGTTTGCTGAGACTTTTGTTTACACTTTGTTTTGCGAACCTCCCCCCCCCCAATATTAATGACCCCGAATAAAAACAAGATTCCAACAAGCACCCAACCACCACACCACCCACATTCAAAAATTCTATTCCCACTTCCCCCACCCTCGCCTGGATGTACCTAGGAAAACTATTTAAAAAAAATAGTGGGACTAGTTTGGGCCCTACCTAAACTGGTCGAACATTTCGTTTGGGCCTGTACCCTAGCTGCACTGATGAGGCCTGGAAGGCCGAAACGGATCCGTCTGCACATATTGGGATTCCTTCCAGTGGATGCTTAGTTTATTTTGTCATTCTGATCGGATTTTCTCTACTGTTCCGTTTTAATTTTAATTTTAAATTGTTTTGCATTATATAGCCGTTTGCTGTTTTATGGGTTTTTCCTATTTGCCTTTCAAACATACATACTGTACATACATACATACATAGATACACATATACATACCTACATACATACATACATACATACATACTGATATGAATAAATGTTGATGAAACACAAGGAATGAAATAAAGTCTCCCCTTACCAATTATAAACAGTTAGGTTGTTTAAAAGTCGGCTCAGAGATAAGGTAGGTGCTGTAGTAGTAACGGTGAGTTTAAGCACCGTACTTGCGAATTTGATGCCTAATTGTCACATAGGAACTTGGTATAGTACCAGGGAACCAATTTTTGTAATAGTTAGAATTAGCCAATTTTTTGGCAAATTCATTACACAATTGCGTTCTACGGTATTGAAGTGTTTCCAAACCAAGTGTGTCAAGAGATTCAGAGTAAGAAGTATATGCATTACCAAGTATACATTTGCAAACCTTCTTCTGAATTCTCTTTATGTTCTGGATATGACCTTTAGTTAACCCGGAATTCCATATTGGGCATGCATAATCTAAGATAGGTCGTAGGTAATTTTTTATGCACTACAGTACAACCATTTCACTGTTAATTAAATAGGCCAACACCGTTACATTTTCTTATTATAAACAATTTTTGATTTGTCTTTTTTGCAGGGATTACAAAAGTACAACCAAAACCTCCTCTAAAATTGTTTTAAAAATAGATGATGAAATTTGTTTTGATGATAACATGTTTGCAAATTATATATTTAAATTTTTTACATAACTTCCAATCTTGCATGTAAAGGGGGGGGGGCTGTAGCCCCCCCCCCAACTCCCCTAGCGCCGCCACTATTTGCGGGATGGTGCCAGTGGCCTCAAACGTCCTGTACCGCACATAGTAAATTGAAGTCTTTTAACAAACACAGTACCAGGTGATTTCAAGATTGCCCGTGTATACCCCCAGTTTAAGAAAAATGATAAATCGAATGCTTCCAACTATAGACCAATAAGTATTCTGAGTGTAATGTCAAATACTTGAAAAGACAGTGTATATACAAATAGAAGAGTATAATAACATCTTACTTGAATTTCAATCAGGTCTTAGAACGTTTTCTCTACAGACTCTTGCTTAATTCATGTAACTGATTATATCTGTACCCATGTCAAATGGAAATACACTGGAATGGTAACATTAGATCTACAAAACGCTTTTGACACCGTTGGTCACGATATTCTGTTTAAGTTACAGCAATCGGGATTGGGCCAATTCAGTGGTTTCGATCATACAGACAACTAATTCTATCTGTGAACAAATCAGAATCTAGGCCACTTGGAATAGAATTTGGTGTCCCACAAGGAAGTATCTTAGGCCCCCCACACCCTTTTTGTTTCTTTGTTATGTAAATTATATGTCAACAAGCGTAAACTGTGAACGTTTACTGTACGCTGAAGATAGTGTTCTTTTGGTGTCGGATAGAGACCGTATTTTTGTAGCAGTCTCAGTGCAGAATTGGTGTCATGTAATCAATGGCTCATTGATAACAAACTGTTACACTTAGGTAAAACTGAGGCCGTAATATTTAGAACGAATCATAAGCTAAAAAAGATCGATGAGTTTTCAGTTAATTGCAACAGTGTTCCTATAAAAACAATGAACTCAATCAAATATTTTGGAATATAACTGGACTAATCACTAACAAGTGAACATATAATAAGTTCGTTTTATGCCTCAGAAATAAAAAAAAAATGGAACAAATTACCAAATGAATTAAGAACACCGTAAGCATAGATTTGTTTAAAAAATCAATCAAAGAATATTTATCTAACCTGCTTCTTTAATTACTAAAAATGATTATTTAAAAAAAAAAAAAACATTTATTCCTTAATTAGGTGATAATTTTTTTATCTAATTTTAATTGCGCGACCACAACGAAAATATACATGTGAATTATTATTTATTAAAATAAACGGGCCGGGTGGCTAAAGCCCACGTCGCAACGGGCCTAGGGTGGCAACAGGCCGGGTGGCAAAATACCGGGTGGACGGGCCTAAAGTGGTAACGGGCCTAGGTGGCAAAAGGCCGGGTGTGCAACGGGCCTAGGATGGCAACGGGCTGGGTGGCAACTGGCCTGGAGGGAAAAATGTCGGGTGGCAAATGGCTGGGTGGCAAAAGGCCGGGTGGCAACATACCCGGTGGCAAAAGGCCTGGTGGCAAAAGGCCAGGTGTCCACGGGCCAATTTTACCATAATTAAGTGTTGTTTATAATTATTTAGTACACACACACGGGAGACACTAAAACCTTAACAGAAGTCAGTTTACAAACTAACTGAGGCCTATTCAACCACATATTCAAGCTAGAGCCGTTAATCTTTAAACAAAATCGATGCAGAGTAATAAGTCTACTCTACACAGAATGCTACTAATCATGACGAATTTATTTACGTTTAACCGACATTGAACGTCAACAACTCCAAGGGAAAATCGCTTCACACTCAAAACCTAAAATACTATATTACTTTTAAAAACAACTTTAATGTTGATACTTATGTATTTCATCTTGGAGATTTGAAATATAGACAGATTCTGACTAAACTTCGTCTAGCTATCCTCGAACTTGAAATCGAAACTGGTAAATGGTTCAAATCAAAATGAAATAATAGAAAATGCAAATTTTGCTCCTTAAATTTAGTTGAAGATGAATACCATTTTACATTGATCTGCCTATTTTAGTCGATATTAGGAATACTTTTATACCTGCATTTTTTAGTTCAAGTCCGCCTGTATTCAAATCCACCAGTACTCCTAATATTATTATTGATTTATCTAAATATTTATATTTATCATTTAAACGTAGAAACGATCATATTTCTCTTTAAATTTATGTTAATCTATATTTATATGGGTCAGAGGCCATTGTGTAAAAAGAATAAATAAATGTCCTTTGTCCCTTGGAACGAAAGCAAGTCTACTTCTTATTCTATTTATATATTTAAAAGGAGGCAAAATGTCAAATACCAAATAATATGAGAATTCAATGAGGTGAATCAACTTGGAAAATGATTAACACTTATTGTGTTTGTGATGAATTTAATACTGATAATATTATGTGCTTGTCTGAAATGCTTCTACCTGTCACGTGTTACTTCACACAATGTGAAATATAATATCATCGACTATAATGACAGACTTTAATAATAATTTTAAACAGTAATATATAGTTACGCAATACTATTCTATTCTTTACAATAATAAAATATCAGGTTACAATATTATTCAACATGGTATTAATTTATTTTAAATTTTGTTTTTAATATATATTCTTGTCATCGATTAGGAACTTTACGAATCATTTCTTTAATGCGTTTCATGGCAACTGCTATACCTTCAATTCAAATCCCAACAGCAGTGAACCAAAGAAAAGCAAGTATTCAGGACCTAGTGCAGGTAATGTATTTCTATTCAGAATTTGCAATGTTTATGAAAATTAGAACTCTAGCTTGCATTAATCAAAGTTATTGCCTACGGTATAGGATTTGATGAATACAAATCGATCTCATGATTTTATTACTACTACTACTATACTACCACTGCTACTGCTACACTACTACTACTACTACTACTGCTACTACTACTACTACTACTACTACTACCACTACTACTACTACTACTACTACTACTACTACTACTACTACTACTACTACTGCATTACTACTACTACTACTACTGTATTACTACTACTACTACTAGGCCTCCTACTACTACTACTGCTGCTGCTGCTGCTGTTGCTGCTACTGCTACTGCTATGGGGCTGATGGGAGGCGCGAAGGTGAAGTGGTGGGGGGGCTCGATGATCAGTTGAGGGGCGCTAATTCTGGGGGGTGGGCGACTGGGGGGCGAGTAAATTTTTTTTGGTAGTACTACTATACTACTACTACTACTACTGCTGCTGCTGCTGCTGCTATTACTACTAGCAAGAGCCCTCAGTAGAGAGCATATCTCCACCCACCGTCAATCTCTTTCCATAAAAAAAAAATCCTCAAAAATATGTTCCTACTTTCCAACCACTAACCATAATCTACTTTTAAAAAACTACACTAACACGAAAATTTCATTTAGATGAGTTGTTTTGTTTTTGAGATATCTGATCTGCGACGTTTTGATATGAATGATCCATAATCGAAACAAAAACATAATCGCTGCTTTTTTCGAACGCCTTTTATTGTATCAGTTGTATAACTGCCAAATCCAGACATGTTTTACTCTTATAGCTGACAACAAAATACATACAATGTGCTAGTGTTGAAATGGAAATATTTTGGAAATAGAAATATGGGAATTTAATTTTTAGCGTCACATTTTTAAATGTAAAGATAATTTTAAAATATTCCCAATAAGTTCCCAGAAAAGTGAAGTTAGTACATATAAAACGCTGTACACCTTTACTGTAATTGCAATAATTTAAATATTCATAGCTATTGTTTCTGCCTACGGTAATACGGAAACTTATTCTTTATCCACACCCTACTTCGGATCGTGACCAAAATTGACACACTTCTTGATTAAAACATGACAAACTATTCTGCCAATTGTCATTTTTATCCATAGATCCATTTTCAAGATAGTTAAGTCTGGGACCTTTTGGCCCTCAAATGAACAGTCGAATTTGGATCGTTAACAACACTTCATAATTTCTTCCTTGTACCTTGGGTAAAGCTTTAACGAAATTTCATTCATATCAGTTGATTAGTTTTTGAGATATCTTGTCTATGACGTTTGCTCTAAAATCCCTTTAAATGGCCCTCACATCCACACCATACTCCGGATAATCACCAAAATTTAATCATTTCTTCATTTGGTTATACCTAACACTACCTGTAATTTTCAGTCATGTCTGTGCAGCCTTTTATAAGATATGTCGCAAACAAAAAAATACACACGAAAACAGCAAATAGTGACACGCACACACACCTACACGACTGAAAACATATCTCCTTATCGGAGATAATAATAATAATAATGTAGATTAAGGTGATATTGATTATAACGACAACAAAAATGATGGTGATAATAATTATAATATGACCATTAATAATAATTATATAATTACGTGTGTATATAAAATACACTGAAGCTTGAAATCAACATGTTTTCATCAAGGATTTTTTGTTTGCGTATTACATAATAGGACTAAGTATAATGCTGTTTATTGAGCAAAATGAATATTTGTACGATGTTTCGGCGAGTGCAGGGGTACGGGTTGTTATACATGACCAAGGCAAGATGCCCTTTCCGGAAGAGGAAGGCTACTACGTATCTCCCGGGCATCATACATCCATCGCATTAAGAAGGGTAAGTCTTATTTACACAGAGGATACACTTACCCTCCTTGTGAAATGTCGCGATGCGATAAAAAGAAGATAACCACTAAAAAGAGGCTACGTATTGCATGATATCTGGCTAGATTTTGACAGAATAAATTCTTCCCATCGGCTACTACTCGTTGAACCCACTCGTTGAACTACTCGTTGAAAAGCACTGGAAAAATATTTCCTTTTCGTGTTACTGTCAAACACGAAGTTCCGTGAGAGAGTAGTATATCGTATTTATTTTAATAAACGCCACACGGGTTGTTTATTGTTGAGAAGGATTTTTGACGGGACACTTATTCGAGGGAGGCGTTTATTCGGGATAAGCGTTTAGATACGTATATACTCAAATAAATGCCCCATTTTCGCTGTAAACGTGGATCTACCGTGAAAATGTGTTATTGTGTGATCATGAAGATTTATTGATCCAACCTGATTAGAAAAAATGTAATTTACTGGAGTAGAACAATAATAGAATGTGTTGACAATGATGTTGCTTCCATTAGATTTGTTTACAATAATTTAGGGGCGTTTGTTGGGGGAAAAATACAGTTCTCGGGGCGTTTATTCCAAATGAGATATGAAAGGGTGAATTTATTCAAATCGGGGCGTTTATTCGAATAAATACGTGTATTCAATCATTATACATATAAGTGTATATTTACATTATAATAATAATTTGATAGATGGGTCAATTGGCGAATTGAGTCTTGACATGTGAATGAAGAAGTGTACTGAACGAAGTGAACTTAAACGAAAGATTGTGTTTATAAAAATAACTCAACTAGTCTAAAAAATCCAAACCTTAAGAATAGACCAACTTGAGTTTTAGTCGGTAAATTATACACTTTAAATATCCAAATAGCTGAACCCAGTGTGTAGTAATCCATCCATTAGGCTGTCTAATTTCAATATTTTATTTTTTTTTAAAACAACGATTAAGAAACTAATGTTTTGTTGACATTAGAACCCAACACCATTCGCTTATTGTTCGATATCCACAAACTAAAGAGGTTAGTAAACATCAATATTTTACACTGTATATTCATACGCGCTGGCGCTGACAAGTCTTCACGGCCGTTCCAATAACAAACAATGTGATGAATTATCAAATTGTAATTCACTGATGCTTAATTATATTTGAAGCAAATCTGTACAATAACAATGCAATTAGAGAGCTGTTTTTGTAAAGGGCGTTGTTAATCGCGACTCTACCGGTAATAATTAAATCCAGTCCTTCTCTCTAGTCATTGGTATTGGAATAATTAACAGTTGTAAAAATGTATAATGTCTGATTGAGGGAGCCAATTAAAAAATCCATTCGGTTTTCGAAGATCTCATTTAAATTACACATCAAATGTGAGTTCCCAAATGATCACGTGCTAAATTAACCCCGTCAATCCGTGTAGGACTGGCTTAGTATAGTAGAAAAGCTGTCACATGCGAGTAGAACTGGCCAGCAGACACGGTGTCACACACCTGCGACTAGCATTGGCCTGCCTGGCAGATTGCTACAAACGGATTAGACCACTGGCCACATTTAACTCTTTTTTTATTCATTCTTCCAGACACGTCAAATTTTAATTTAAGCAAAACGTAATCACGTTACAATTGAAACTTATAAATAACAAAAGATTTTATTAGAGAAAATGTTTTTATTTAGAATTTTTTAATCAATTCACTGTATTGTGGGTTTTAAAAAATGTTTCTTTTAAACGGTAGTTTATGTTTCTAGTTACCTTGACAAATTGTTTATCCATCTTCGTAATATTTAGGGTGTTTAAATAACAGTAAACAGAATAATATAAATTTCATTATACAGTATACCCAGGAAAGGTGATCACACTTTTTACTAAAATGGAAATAATATTCTAACTGGATTGATGCTGTCTCTGAGTTCCACTTTGTATAATATTTTGAAGTCCAATGCTATGTTCCATTGTTTCACCTAAGAGGTTTCAAGCACGGTTACCTAATTTATATAATTCTTTAATTCAATCTGATATCAATATTGATATTTTCTTATTCTATTTTTAAAACACACTGTATTACTTTCTTAAAAATAATTATGTAATTTAAAACTTATGGTTTGTTTTTTTTTTTTTTTTTGATTTTAGCAAATGAATTTTACAATGTTTTTTTTTTTTCAGTGTCTATATATTTATAAAATATTGTCTTAGTTTCATTTCTTTAAGTGGCAACTTGCGTTGCTGTTGAAAGGTGAACAAATAAAAATAAAAATAAAATGATATGATAACAAATGTTATCTAATCATGTGGCTAATGGGATTGGTATATTGATTCTAATAGGTTGAAATAAACCGGTTGTCAACCTATGACAAACCTTGCATGTCTGAAGAAGAAATGGCCAACTACTGGGACTTCTACACATTCTACGGAGTCGAATACAATCAACAGGTAGGTCTAAACCTTGTGCGTGTAAGTAAATTGTACATCTCAATATAAATGTCCAGTTTAAAAATCATTATAATTTTAATCATTTTAACATCTTCAATTTTATTGTCCGTCTATTTATTTATTTACCGTCATCTTGAATCTGTAGTTTTTAAGCATAAGTTTGCATGGACAAATTCTTGAAATAAGAATGCTTTTTCTTGATAGTTTTAACTGTTTTAAAAATTCGTTTTACAATTCTATATGTTCTTTGTAAATTGTTTACTGGCATTTCATATTAATGTTAATTGCAATCGTTTATTGCTGATCTGTTTGAATCTTCTATATTGGTTTTTTTTATGTATATTTTCGTGTAAAGATGCCTATAGTATAGGAGAGCCACTTGATAGTGATTGTACTTTTGGCAATCCTCAGATAATGAACATCTTGTTTTGCCTTGTATTAATTTTAACTGGATATTGAATAAATGAAAAATTACCTTCATGTCATTACCGTATTCTTGCTAGATTTACGGCATTAAAATGCACCTGCTGCAATATCTACGCAAAAACAGTTTTGCGTTACATTCTACAAGTTCGTACTGAATAGAAGTATTGTAATTACGATTTTGTGGAAAAAATAAACGAAAAAAATATTGTTTGTGGGTAAATCCTACATATACAAACAATTAGGGAATTAGCAGTGGGCTCCATCTCATCCTATATGCATAAGTATCACTGCAGGCCAGCTTGAACAGTGGTGGAGCTAGCGTCTGAAATCTGGGGGTGGGGGAGCAAGTAGGGAGCAAGATGAAATTTTAGGGAAAAATAAAACAAATGCCCCTTTCCCCTTGCAGCGCCGCCACTAAGAGTGACTATTCCTTTTACATGTATATACTTTTTGACTGTATGTGTTTAACATAAATACAATGACCATTTTAAATGAGAAAAAAAATAGAAGCAATTATCTACATAAAATGCAGCAAACATCAGACTTAAGCCGGATACAGTGCCACGGTGCTACGCAACGCATAACACCAGTGCTTCGTTTTTTGCTGTTTATACAATACTATTTATATTACAATCTTACACTCTTGTTATGATATCCATCTGTCCTGATTCTCAACCCTCAAAACAGATATTTTTGCTCCACCTGCCAGTTATCTTGTCTTTTTCCCTCCCTGTCATACTTGATCTAGTCATTATATGTTCATATTATTTATTTTAGTTCTTATTTAGTTGCAAACGTTGCTTACCAATTAGGATTTTCATGATTAAATAATATGAATGCATACTATACGATGTTGATGGACGACACATTTCTGATTGCGTTATGTTTTATTACAATTAATATCATCATTTAATCATCATGCCATCATCATCATCATCATCATTTATTATCATCATTATTTATTATCGTTTAATTATTATTTCTTTTATTATTATTATTTCTTTTATTATTATTATTATTATTATTATTATTAATATTATTATTTTTTTTGTCTTTCGTGGGGTTCTCCCACCTTTAATGATTCTTCTTCAACTTGCATTTACTTAAACAGCAGTATAAAAGCATACAATGTGTAAAAAGTAGCAAATGCTTGAAACCCATCAAGAGAACAAAACAAACTTGTATTAAAATATAGTGCTATATTACAAGAGCGCTTTAAATTTACACACAATGAAATACTTTTAAAACACCTTTATAGACAAATACCCATTTTACATACGAGAGCATAAAAAAGTAAATTCAAATTTACCTTAAATTATCTTATGATTACAATCTAATGTATGTACAAAAATCAGAAAAAAAGCTAAAATAATATAATACTATAAATCTCAAAAATATCAAAACAATACGTCTTGATTGACTGTATTATTACTGTCTCTTATACACATCTAGATGTGTAAGTCATATTTGTCCACATGTGTTCAAATAATAAAACAGAAAATAAGACAAAATAATGATGCGGAAACGTTGAGTTAGACACAATATAATTAATAATTATATATATATATATATATATATTATATATACACACACACATAAGACCTACATACATATACACACACACGCATAAAGTATATGGCAACATGATATAATAAATCAAACATATCAAGACATAGTTCATCAACGAAAGTTCCTTATTTATAGTTATATGAAACAAGAGGTCTCTGGTGAGAATCGAACCACACTCTTTCGCAATCATACAGGCATCCGTACATTACGGAAGACCACCAGTCCCTCTCTCCCCTCCTACAACTTCAGAGCTCAATCATAGTGGAGCCAATTTTAAGCTACTACTGTACGTAATAAAAAGTTAGCAGCTGGCAAATGATACACGAATTAGATGATAATACAGTGCTCAAACAAATATTATTATTATTAATATTGTTATTAGCCATAATAACATTATTATTAATATTTCATCATCATCATCATCATCATCATCACAACCATGTCATTATGATTTATTATTGTTTCATTTATCTGTCTTACTAATAGACTTGTGTGAAGACGTGTTATCAACGACAAATAATGGAACATTGCGGTTGCTATGACATATACTATCCTACCAATGAAACAAGCTTGGATCCAAAAGAAAGGACTGTCAAACCATGTGACCTTACAAATGAAGAAGATGGTAAGTGATACCAGTAGGCTATTCAAGTGCGCAGGATTATGTTTCAAGCGGCATATATTATAGAAATTGATTTATAATGAATTTATATGGAACGCCACAAGGGTCAATAATGATCTGACACTTGTTTGTGTTTTGAATTAAATAGTCTACGCGCTGCATCAGGATGGACAGCCAAACATACTGTAATATATCTCCCCGGAGTGGCAATCAAACTTAATAACCGACCAATCAGAACAGAGCCAGGAATTGGCGGTTGTCCCACAAACACATAAATTGACCTTTCCGGAGTGTCAATTAAACCAAAGAACTGACCAATCAGAACAGACACCCATGAGTACGCTGCTGAAACAACAAGTTGTCCCACTAACGCACGTGCTTGTACAATATCCAAGATGCAGGCGAAAATTACCCACACTCATGGCCGGCGAAACCGGGGAGCCCGGGCCCCTCACTTTTGGGCAAAAAAATAAATGTCTATGGAGATTTTTGTATGATCGGAAAGAAATGCAAGAAAACAAGGAGGGAAGAATGAGGAGAGGGAGGAGAAAGAGAGTGTTTTTCCGGTCCCCGACCGAGTTACATTTTTTCGCAATTCACATTGGCGGATCTGGGAGGGTCGGGGTCCTGACCCCCTCTCTAGAGCAGAGAAAAAAAAAAAAAAAAAAAAAAAAAAAAAAAGAATTCTAGACCTACTTTTTCAGGACCGTGAGCTGAATTTATTGTTACAATAAGAACATTATTAGTCGGGAAAGCACATTTCCCGCCATCAAGGAATTAAGATTTTCAGGAGGGAGAACAATTTTTGGGATATATCGATTCATGTCAAAAGAATACGTATGCAATTGCCCAAATTTTAAATGTACCCCTTCCCTATGTATACACACATGGCCTATTTACTGTAATAAGAATGAAAAAAAATTACCTGATCGTTTTCAAAAGGGGAAAACCTTGAATTTTTAAGAACTTCGAAGTCATTAAAAGGTACGAAAGCCTATTCGTGCCACTTAAGTATATAAAATCATCAAAATGTAATCCGAAATTTCGGATTAGTAATCCGAAATAACGGATTAGTAATCCGTTATTTTGAATTAGTAACTCGTAATTTCGGATTACTAATCCGAAATTTCGAATTAGTAATTCGTTATTTTGGATTACTAATCCGAAATAACGATTATTTCGGATTATTAATTCGAAATTTCGGATTAGTAATTCGTTATTTCGGATTACTAATCCGAAATTTCGAATTAGTAATTCGTTATTTCGAGTTAGTAATCCGAAATAACGAAATACTAATTCGAAATTTCGGATTACTAATCCGAAATAACGAATTACTAATTCGAAATAACGAATTACTTAATTCGAAATAACGAATTACTAACTCGAAATAACGAATTAGTAATACAAAATAACGAATTACTAACTCGTACTAACTCGAAATAACGAATTACTGAGTGAATTTTCAAGAGCCAGTACACATGTGACAAAGATGTGTTTGATCTTTGTTCGATATTAATGAGAGAAAGACAACTGTCTCAACCAAATAATCCTGAAGAGTGTCTGTCTTTGTATAATGTTTTACGAATTGCAATAACTGAATTACTTTTTCTCAATAAACAGTGTGTACAGTAACAGGTACAACAAAAATTACTGCAACAAAAAAGATTTAAGTTTATACATTTAAAAAAATTAAAGAAAAACATAGGCCTATAATTATTTTCAGTGTCTCGATTTTAATGAAAATATTTTTTATTAATAATGCAAAAACAGACATTATACAGTACACTATAATTTATGATAAACTAGACTTTTTTTCCAGTATAGCTCAGCAAGACATAATCACCATACTAATAGCTATTTATTGTGATCCTGTGTAAATACTGTTTTTCTTTCTTTTCTCACTGTAGTAAATAATGAATAGATTATTAAATACATGCCAATATTAAATGGACAATTATGTTAGTTCTTTTTATTTGTAACCTGTCTCTTATACACTTTTTATTTGTAACAACGCTATTATGACAGCATGATTCATGTGTTCCTTTCAAAATTACTGAAACCGAGTGAAACGTGTGAAAACTAGGGCAAGACGTTACCGCGTCCCAACTCTCTCTCTCTCTAGGCCTAGGCCTACGTCCTCGCTCCTGAGTAATTCGTTATTTCGAGTTAGTAATTCGTTATTTCGGATTACTAATCCGAAATTTCAAATTACTAACTCGAAATAACGAATTACTAACTCGAAATAACGAATTAGTAATCCGAAATAACGAATTACTAACTCGAAATAACGAATTGCTAATTCGAAATTTCGGATTAGTAATCCGAAATAACGAATTACTAATCCGAAATTTCGAATTAGTAATTCGTTATTTCGGATTAGTAATCCGAAAAAACGAATTACTAATTCGAAATATAACGATAATTTGAAATAAGAATTACTTAATTCGAAATTTCGGATTAGTAATCCGAAATAACGGATTACTAATTCGAAATAACGAATTACTAATTCGAAATTTCGGATTAGTAATCCGAAATAACGAGTTACTAATTCAAAATAACGGATTACTAATCCGTTATTTCGGATTACTAATCCGAAATTTCGGATTACATTTTGATGATTTTATATACTTAAGTGGCACGAATAGGCTTTCGTAAAAAGGCACTTCAGAACTCGGGAAGCTTATCTTCCTGCCATTTCGAAATCAACATTTTTCGCAGGACCCGATTCCTAGAATCCTTATAAGAGTGGGAAAATCTTGAATTTTGAAGAACTTTAGAATCATTAAAATACACCTACCTCAAAAGTAGGAAAAGCTCATTTCCTGCCATCTAGGAATCCAAATTTTTCCGGGTGTAGAACCTTCGGACCCCACTTCCTTTTGGGGGTTTTGGGGATAAATCTTGACCCCACTCCTAAATTTGAATCCAGATCCCCCTGATTCATATTCTCATTCATCTTACTAGTGGCCTCCCCACTTTGAAAAACGTTCAGCCGGCCCTGACACTAACATGCTTTCTCCAGAGTTGGTCCGTTTCCTTGCAGGAAATAATCTATACCCAATAGGAACAGTAAGACAATGTATGAACTAATGTTTACCACTAAATGGTATGAAACAATTATACATCTAAACAGAAGGAATTTCCCAGCCCGTTATATTCTGAACACGTATAATACCATGGTTAATCATTAATTATTATGCAACAAGTTGGGGTTTTTTTTTTAATTAATTGTTTTAAATATTTTGATAAGACAATGTGTATTTTTATATAAATTATAATCTAATTGTTATAACTTATTTTGATATGTTATGAGTATGTAAATTAATTTTATTTTTCTAGTTTTGTAAATATAATTAAAATGTCTTACCAAAATAATTTTATCAATTTTTACAATCTTATTTAAAAGTATTCTCGTAATCCAGCGTTAATGCTGTTAGTTGAGATGAAATAAAATTGAATTGAAATGAATCGAATGTAAGTGGGTGCCATAAGACGATTCAGTTATAGTATTTTTCTGATGTGCGTTGTCACTTTGTTGATTGCTTGCACACATCGACGTTGAGTTGGATCAGTGTTAGCTCATGAATATCAATATCCACCTCAATCGTAGCCGCGCTGAAAGACTTGCAATACATACAAAGAATCATGATTAGCGCCCTTGTTTGTTGGTCTTCAGAACTCTAGGCGCGTACTGAAAATGTTTTTAACCATGGACCTATTTAGGGTACCGGTACTTTGGTAAAATCTCATGAATTATTCATAATAATCCTTATAGAACATATTTTGCGCATGCGCAATATTCGTATTTGAATAAATCAAAAATAAAACAGGTGATTGATTTGATACATAGAAGTGATATAGGCCTATTTACTGTCAGTCTGAAAATACAATACTAAATAATTTTTCAATTAAAATTTTAAAATTCCTACTATGTAAACTAAGAAACTTCGCTCGATGCTGCGAAGCTATAGGACTTCGCAAATATGCCCATACAGTGGTCCACTGGCACCACCACCTGGGGAGGATGCAGAGGGGTGGAGACGGTACGATCGCATCCCACTAAATTGTATTAAGAAAAATAATTGTTTTAGTATATTGTTGACATGAATTATCGGTAATATTTTTAAGGTATGAGAGTGCAATTTCCGGGCACCTAGAGGTTCATGTTTTTAAAAATGTTTCCACCTCAGCCCCAACCATGGTGGGGCTGAGGTGGTGTCGACTCCTACGCTCCTCCTACTGCCAAATTCTGCATCCGTCTCAGACCACTATATGCTTTACGATATAGGCCTAGACGAGGTTTAACGTGAAGGATGCATCCATCATAGATGATCATTCGTCATGCAATATCATAGTCCTAAAAACAAATCATTGTTTTATTCATATCTAACATAAGAAAATACGTACAAAAGAAAGTAAACAAGTTGCATAACATAAATAAATCACCTCCTTTTATCTTTACTTTAAAATATTTGTTAATAATAAGTTCACGGTAATAATGAAACAGACTGGATGTTGATATTACACCAGTAGCAGACTGAATGAAGGCTCTAATGTTACGTGACTGTAAGCAATAATTCTGCAACTAATTTAAAGTACTCATATAGGACTATTCTGCTTTTTTTTTCTTTTTAATCATTGTATTCGCTCAGTTCGCCCAAAATCGAATTAATTTTTTAATTGAACACTAGGTTCTCGTGGATGCACAGAGCTATGGGATGCCATACGCAGCAAAAGTCTACTGTTAAAATCAAAATGTAATTGCAAAATTTAATGTCTAATTTATCAAAAGGTAGGTTTAATTTCTAAAAATGTAAAAAATTAGAATTACATTTTGGAAAATTAAAACTAAGTTTTAAAATATTAAAACTTCGTTTTGAAAAATAAGATCTACATTTTGAGAAATTACATCTACGTTTTGATAAATTAGACCTTGAATTTTGCAATTAACATTTTGATTTCAACATAGACTTTGCTGCGTATTACACCCCATATTCACTAGCCTATGCCTAGTAGTGTAATAATAATTTAAAACTCCAGATAAACATCTTGCATCTATTACCTTCCAAGGAAATTTTTTGGGCGCCCGTTCGTCTTAAGATCAATTAACGCTCTGGTTTGGGGGTGGGGAGGGAGAGTTACGTTTTATTTAGAGAATGGCAATAACATTTTTGTTTTGCGTTTTAGTGCATATGCATGAACAACGTGTTATAACGTCAGATACGGCCAGGACAAGGCAAGTCGCAATCGCCGGTACACTGAGCGACCGACGCGTTTGAAATGCGTTGTTCACGGCATTGGACTGCAGGGAAAATTGATTCCCACCATCGTTAATGGAACGGGCCGCGATTTTTTTTTTTCCGTACGAAACATTTGCATGAAACTTCACTCGGGACATCTCGGATTGACTCAAGTGAGTACGATACGAGGAACAAGATCAGACACTTCGCAATGTCGTGACGCTCGAGTTTTACTATTACAGTACTGTATTGCTC